CCGGGAGGTCGAGAATAAAGGGCAAAGATAGAAGAAGAAAAATAAAAAAAAGGAGGAGGAGGTATATATGCATTGTACTTTCTTTTTGTTTTTCTGTGTTTTTTTTTTTTTTTTTTTTTTTTCTTTCTTATGTCCTATTAATTCTGCTTTCTCTTAATGGAATCCGCTACCAACACTGCATTCGTATGACTAGGTTGAAGTGACATCGAATAAAAAAATGATTCTCTGTGTCAAATATATACATGTGTGTACATTTGTGTATATGTGGTTTTCTATCGTTACAAAATATATTTTTGAGACGTCTCCTTTTTCTTTTTGTTTTCTAATGTTTTTTTTTTTGTTTTGATTTCTCATTTATATTTTCGTTAGGGTAAAAGAGGAAGGGTCTCACACACACATACATATACATACATATAAAGGTGAAGGGGGAAAAAAAAAACGAAAAGGGATCAGAACACATAGAGAGTAAAAGGAATTTATCACCTGTGTGTTAGTGTGAATAATTCATATATTTGGTTTTTTTTTTTTTTCTCGGTTATTACTTATTATTATTATTTTTTTTTTTTTTACAATCCATAGATGAACCGAAGTATTGACGTCAATGGACTGCGCGATGTGGTGTCCCAGAGGGATATGCACCGTAGCCATTTACCTGATGCTTCTATAATGAGTGGTACTTCAAAATCAGCAGCAGGGGGAGTAGCAACTGGAACTGCTGTTGAAGATACTGTGTTGTTGGAAGTTCTTATTCCTGTGTATACAAGATTGGAGGACCGTGAGGAAGTGTGTCGTGATCTTGGCATCTCTGTTCTTACAGGCCGTGGAGGTGTTAATGGTCTTTCACGCAAAATATGTGTCCGATTGACCGATCCTACTGATCCTTTTTTTCTATTTGAGTTGGAACTTCTTGAGGATGACTACGGCTTATTTAAGCAGCGATTGGAGCTACTGGTGGATTTCAGTGGATTTCCCAAGTACCTTGTCTCTATGCTAAATGGTGTGGTGAATGGAGTGACTCCATACGTGGTATGCTTTGTAGTGGATAGCCGTGACGCTGTTCGAGGAACACTTCGGGTGTTGGAGCGCACCGATTTCCGCACAGTAGAACACATTTCCCTCGTCTTGCTTCGTCAAGGCGATGCGGGACAGAAGCGATACCTTGCGGAGCGCTTTCAGTACTATGAGCGGGCCTACACACGTGCGTTAGAGGAGCACCGCATGGAGTCCTCAGCGGCGGCGGCGAATATTGAGGCGCTGAAGAATGAAGTGGCGTCTCTTGAGGAGAGCGGGGCGGCGGTGCGGGAACAACTGCGGGTGGAGTTGGCGCGGGCGGAGCGGAGTTCGTTGACGACGGCGACTCAACTGCGGGAGACGCACAGCGGCGAAGTCGCGCAGCTGCGGGCCTCCTTCGAGGCGGAACTTCGCCACGCCGCCCGCAAGGCGGAGGAAGTGCAGCAGCAATTACTGCAGGATGTGCGGGAGAAGGATAAGGCACTGCAGGAGGCGCAGCAACGAGCCGCCGCATTGGAGTCATCCGTGATAAAACTACAGTCCAAATTGAGACTCACAGAGGACAGGTGTAATGCTCAAGAAAAGGAATTGGAGGGTCTACGGTCTTCAAATCATGAACTTCAAGATTTTCGAAATCATGCTACTCGATCACTCTCTGATAATGAACTTAATTACGTGAAAATTCAAGAACGATTACGTAGTGTTTCAGAGACCTTAAGATCACGGGAAGAAGAAGTTAATTCCTTACGAGAGCAATACCAAAAGCAGGATAATTATATTCGTATCATCACTGCACAAAATGAGCAACTTACAGAAAGAAATAAGAAGAATGAAGTATCATTATCAAAAGCACATCATATTATTACTAATCAACTAAAACATGTGAAGAGTATGAAGGAACGTGAAAACATGATAAAAAAACAATTAAACAGTCAAAGTGCTCTTTTACAAGAAAAGGTGGCTACTATTTCTAGATTGAGAGATGAACTTAATTCTTCAGCAGAACGAATTCAAACTCTTCAAAGTAAATCAGCTGAATTACGTGATCAATTGGGAAAAACAGATGCTGCACGTGAAAAACTTGCTCAAGAATTAAAACAAGGCCAAGATGCCCTTATTCACCTTCAGCGAAGTACCAGTGTAAATGGAAGACATTGGTCTGTTATGAGTGGTCCTATCGGTAGTAGTAGCAGTCTTGGTCTAGGTCTTAGTACCAGTTGTGGTTCAACTTCATATGATGTCTACAAGGAACTTAATAAAAATGCCAACACGACACTTCGAAATGGTGGATTAGCTAATCCATATGTATCGAATGATATTACTGTTTCTTCTATGACAAATCATCATTCTGTACAGAATGGTGGTGAAAATAATCAACAAAATGCAAAGACTAAAACTCAAAATGATGTAAAAGAGATGCAGCAGAAGAATTCTATTTATTCAGTAAGTAATAAAAAAATTCTTAACCCACAAATGGGTATAGTAGTTGGTACAGAGGATGGAACAACCAAGTTATTTAATACAGAAGAAGGCTCAATATTAAATGGTAAACAAAAACGTCAACCCTTGGATACAACAGCAATTAATGTGGCATTGAATCAAACAAATAACGGATTTGCCGCTAAGAGTTTTTTCAATGATGAGGTTGATAAAACAGAACTCTCAACCAACACTGCTTCTTTTATTGGGAAAGTACCAGCAGCAACAGCAGGTCCGAGTGCCTACTTTTAATGGTGCCATGCTGTAATATGATTTCGAAGAGAAAGAGAATATGATGGTACCATACTGATGTAATTTCTCAAAGATTTACCGCATTTTTTGTTTTATTTCTTTACTTTGTTTTTCATTTGGTTCACTCGCATATAGACGGAGTTTTTTTTTACTTTCTGTTTTTTTTTTTTTTTT